GGGGTTGGGAATTATGTCTGAGCTGGCTAATGGTTGGTTTTTTTGTTTTTTTTTTAAATATAACTAAGGATTACAGCCCAAGGATTTTCCCTGAGTTTGTTAATTGTGGCTTTTCACCACCTAGCCATTTTACTATGCTTGCAACAGTAGTTTTGTGTTTGATGATAAACGAGTTTTTGTTTTGTTTTAATTAACCGGTATTGGTTGATTGTTGTGTCCTTAGGATTAAGATCCTAGTTACAAGGGCAGTGTCAATTGTTGTCTGCAGATTTACTTTGTTTTCCCAGCTCCAAGCAAAATGGAGGTCGGCCAGAAGTAATCCCTTCCCTGGTAAAACAGGTTTTTATTTTATATTTTCTTTTAATCACTTGGAGGGTGGACGCACAGAACCAGTCTTGTCTTTTTTAATCTCAAGGGGACTGAGATCAAATATGTTTGTCTCTGGGAACCACAGCGATAGATTTTGCAGTGTTTAATCAGCTAGCCACACCCCCTCTCCACATCTCTACACGCAGAATGTCGGGTTCAGGGATTGAGCAGTAACAAGAGGTCTATGACTGGTGTGGAAAAAGTGAATACAGAAAAGTTATGTCCTTGTTCCCATAGCATAATAACTAGGGGTCACCAAATGAAATTAACAGGTAGCAGGTTTAAAACAAGCTAAAGAAAGTTTTTCTTCACGAAGTGCACAATCAGCCTGTGGAACATCTTGCCAGAGGATGTTGTAAAGATTAGGATTTTAACAGGGTTCAGAAAAGATCTAGATAAATTTATGGAGGTCAGGTCCATCAATGGTTTAGCCTGGATGAGTAGGAATGGTGTCTGTAGCCTCTGTCAGAAGCTGGGAATGGGTGACAGGAAAGGGATTACTTGATCATTCCTTTTCCAGTTCATTCCCTTTGGGGCACCTGACATTGACCATGGTCAGAAGACAGGATACTGGTCTAGATGGACCTTTGGTTTGACTCAGTGTGGCCGTTCTTAAGTTCTTAGGTCAGATACACTCAGTCATAGTAAACATTTAGCTCCTGTATCTCACAGCACTTCACACAGAGGAGATAATATTGCTATCTCCAATTTACAAATGCAGTAACAAGGGATCTGAGACTGAAAATGACTTGTCCAAAGTCACTCCGTATATCCCATCTCTGTCAGTGGGGAGCATGAAAGGTGGACTGCAGTTCAGTGCGATTCCCTCTGCTCATGACATTTTAATATTTCTTCTTTGGTTGAAAGCATGAAGTTGAGGGGATTCAAGAAAATGAAGAAAAACAAAGATCGGTCCCACAGTCAAGTGAATTTTGTTGAATATCCCCCTCAACTGTTTTTTCTGCATTTCCTAATTCAGGGCACCATGATATTTCCTGCACTGAAGTCAGTTCTATGTGACATCAGGGAATTTCCAAATCCAGAGCAATTCAACCCGGGACACTTCTTGGACAAAAATGGTGCCTTTAAGAAGAGTGACTTCTTCATGCAGGTAAAAGAAGCTGGTTTAGTTTCAGATCCTAGCCTGTCTCCCAGCTCTGCCTGGTCGCTCCCAGACTGGTTTGAGAGAGGTGTTTCATGTGGCCTACAAAACAGGGAGACTCCCACTAGTGTTGCATCTGTCAGTCTTTGCAAGTGTCACTTTCCACTCATTGGTCTGAAGTGAGTGTTTGGACTAGACACACACTCAATTCACTACACTCTGCTTGAAAACTCCCTGTCTTGCTTTGTGTGGTGTCCGACTGGTGTACGTGAATCTGCGATCAAAGGCTAACGTTGAAGGGAATACCTAGCCAGCTGCGTAGTCATGTGCACAGATAGCACAGGAAGGCAGGGCTGGAAGGGACGTCGAGAGTTCAGAAAGTTCAGCCTCCTGCGCTGATGTGGCACCACATAAATATTGACCGTCCCTGACTGGTGTGTGTCAGCCTGTTCTGAAAATCCTCCAGTGATGGGAATTCCACAGCTTCTGTGGCAAGCCCCTATTTTTAATTTTCTTCTCTACTCTCTACTCTAAGTCTCCCTGATTGCAGAGTAAACTCATTAATTCTTGTCCTACTGTCAGGGGGGAAAGGAGAACAATTAATTCCCGTCCTCTTATAACAGCCCTTAGCGTATCTGAAGTCTCTTTACTGTATCCCCGGCCTGCCATCGTTCGGATGACTACACTGGTCTGGGGACCAGCTTTTGTAAACCTTCGAGCATGATTCATTTTGTTGTGTTACTCCAGGCGGATGGAGTGAGCAGGGTGAGGCCTCGGAGAAGGGGCGGAGCAGGGGCCGGAACTGAAAGAAGGGGCGGAAAGGAGGTGGGGTTAGGGTCTTTGGGCTTCAGGTACATCTTGCAGGGCACTTAAATTGGAAAAATGATCTTGTGCTTAAAAAGGTCGGAGACCACTGACCCACTGCATGAGTGAAAGGCCAGCAGGCTCCCAGCTAAGGCTATAGGGCAGTCTCATCACTCTCTCTGTAAGTGTTCTCAGCGCACAGCACCCAAATGTCCTGTGACCGGCATTTCTTAGGCCCAAGTATAGCGCTCTTAACTGGTGCAGGTCCAGTGTTCTCAAATCCATCTGGCACCAATGGAAAACCTGCTCCATTTCCTTTACAAGGGAATTGCACAAGTGGCGGGGGGGTTTATCAAATGTGATTTGCTCTGGGTCAGGGATTTGTCTGCAGCAGGGTGGGAAGGCAGGACAGGGGAAGAGAGGAGAGAGACAGTAGGGAAGGGAGGGGGTCTGGGCAGAGCAAGCGTGGAGTCTGGGTGGGGCCATGTGCAGAAAACACCTGCAGCGGCTTTAGCCAGGCTCCACAGGTGGCAGCTTCCCCCACTGCCCACGTGTGAGGCTGATGTGAGATCTTTCCCCTCATGGCCTAGTGGGTCTTCATCACAAGTGCTACAGCAGTGGCGCTGCATCAGTGCTGCTCTCTGACACGAGACACGGGCGCTAACAACGTCTCAGGGATCTGGGAGCCTAGGAACACCCGCTGCTCAGCCCGTCCCCAGACAGTTGCGCTGGAATCAGCGCCTTCCTGTGAAGTGCTGCATTTTCTGTGACATGCGGGGCTGAGGTCACAGATGTAGGTTCATTGACTTGAACTCCAAAAAGCCTGTTTTCTGGCAGCTCACCAGGAAATCAACAGATTTCGGTGAAATGTTTCTCTTTCCTTGAATGGGCATTTTCTGCTGCCTCTCACCTCCTGCTGGACCCCACAACGAATGTGAATACTCTGGATGTAGAATGCAACCGCTTCCCCCTTTGTTCCCTGCCCGTCCTTCCAGCACAACTCGTGACTCACTACACGAGTGCTCCACCCACGAGATGTACCCACCACGTCTCTGGGACGCCAGCGAAGGCGTTACTCCATTTTGTACCAACTCCCCCAGTTCTGCGCTTCCCTCCCACTTCTCCTGCCACTTGGGCGCAGACACCTGAGATGTGGAGTGCTCTCTCCCACTACGTTCCCTCTTGTTACTCTACTACCCTGTTGTAAGTCTCCCCCAGCATGCAGCTCCCTGGCAGGGTCGCCATTTTCATACCTCCCTGTGGGCGTTGTCACCTGCCCCCTTTGTGCCTAGTTCAGAGACCGTCTGGCTGGGTTAGTGGGTTGTTGGCAGAGATTCCCTTCCCCTTCTAGGTCAGGACACAATATCTTCCCAGCAGAGCGTGTTCCCAGAAGAGCATCCCATGGTGGGGGAACCCAGAACCCGCCTGTGGGCCCATCTGCTCCGCCATGCGCTCCTCTGTCCCAGGGAGGCACGATCCTGTCTCCGGAAAAGCCAGAGAGCGAGGAGCCTTGCTTCTGCTGTGGATCTAGCAGACTGAACGGTGCTGGAAACACTGGCTCCCTGTTCCCTTGTCAGGTGTGCAGCTGAGGAGCCAGCGACAGGCGCTCAGGTTACTAAGGTGTCGAGTTCCCAGGAGTCCTGGCAGCTTGCCAGTCCGGTTGTGGGGAGCTGGTGGGTGGGTGACCATCCGGAGAGCAAGGCAGAGATGTCAGTCAACACAGTTCTGTGAAATGTTCCACTGCAAAGAAATGTCTGGTGTGGGGTTATTGCAGCAAGGCCAGGCCTGGTCACCGTCGCAGCCTTTGGTTCAGGCCTCAGGTCTCATCCCAGGCCGTGTGCTCTGGGATCTGTCTCTCTCTATTACCTCTGTTGTCATGCCAGCAGCAACAGACTATCAGACCATCCATTCTTTACAGAAACGATTTCCCCCGTCGCTAATCCTGTTCCTCTGTCTCTGGGCCCTTGTCTGCTTTCGTGTCTGTCCTGCTGCAAAGATAGGACAGACCGAGCCAAGCGTTGTGGGGAAGCAATCCACGGGGCAGTGTGGTGGGAAGGCAGAGCTGATCCCTGCGCTTCTCGGGATTCCCTCATTGCTCTGTGAGCTTTCAGGAATATCAAAGCGGCACAGCCATCTCCAGCACTCCCCCTGCACCAGCAGCCTGCCTGCCGCTGGGTTCCTAGCAGAGCAGAACAGGAGCAGGCTAATTATTTTCTCTTTGTTTGTTTCCCAAAGGGAGCAGCTCACTCAGTGGTCAGATTCTTCCTGGAGCTTTTAAAGGGGAGGGGCACATGCCTGCCGGGCAGCAGAGATCACCACACATTGAGCAGAGCCATCAGGGCAGGCACACTGGCCCTGGTTGACAATAAAGGAAGGGTTAAAAACAAAAGTCTCTCATGGGGCTCGAATTTTTGGTGGCCAAAATGGGGGGTGTTTCCCAAAAAGTCACATAGCATACGCTAAATCTAGGAGCACAACATGAAAAGGAATCCTCAACCTACATGTACTATGTTCCAGCTGGCGCCAGCCCTCTGAGAAATATTTAACCACACGGCTGGAGAGAGCGGGATGTTTCATGATAGTTTGGGCAACTTTACAGTGATTCTGTATAGGATTAAATGTCATTCTCCATCAATGACTACAAAAGGCGAAGGGGAGATGAGCAATTATTAAAAGTTCAAAGGACTTCGTTCCTAGTTGCACAACTCTGGTCATCTTTGTTAGTCTGGAGCTTATCTCGTTACCATGGCAGAACTGAGAGCGCCTATTGGCTAATTGTTTGCACCCACTTTTGCTGTGCAGAATATAAAAAAGGAGATATCTGAAATACAAATAATTATTAGCCTCCGGAGCCATTGCTACACGAAACAATGGAACCGCTGGGAGCAACCACTGTTTTCCTGGTCATTTGTGTCTCTTGCCTTCTCTTCCTCTTCATGTGGAGAAAGTCGCCTGGAAGTGGGAAGCTGCCGCCCGGACCTGTTGCTTTTCCCCTCATTGGGAACATGCTGCAGCTGAGAAAGAAGAGCTTGCCCCTGCATATAGAAGAGGTAAGGGTGTTCTCTTGGTATCCGTTGCTGGGTTGGTGGCAGGCATTTAGCTCAGCCTAGCTCAAGCTCAGCCTGGTGGCAGTGCCATGTCAGCTCAAATGCCCAAGTTACTGCTTCACAAAACAACCAGTCTTCGATTGCAGATGTAAATGGTTTGGGATAATCCACTGCTTGTGTGAGAGGAGAGTGTGTTATTCAGAGGTAACCCAGAGAGCCTCCACAGCACCACTGTCCTGGGTACAAGTTGTCGCTGGCTGAGCTCAGAGGTCTAGTGTGTTAAGTAAGGAACTGGCATTCATGGGCCTTCAGGTCTGTGTCTGCCCCTGCCACAGACTCCAGGTTTGCCCTTGGGCTTGTCACGTAACCACTCTCTTCATTTCCTATCTGCAAAACTGCCCTATTGACATTTGCCTACATCACAATACAGAGGTAAGGCAGAGACTGCAGCTCAGCATAGAACCAGCTGACACGACTGAATAAATGCAGACAGCATTTCTGTGGAGTTTGAAGGGTCATTTTTACATAGCACTCACGGTCTCTATTGAATCGCCATATTAATGCAGGTGGCTGTTATAACTGTAACAGACAGATTTATGCTGGGAATATATGGAACGGACGGACGGACACATCGATAGGGAAACATGTTTAAAAGACACGAGTTTAACAACATGACGCACTGAAACATCAGGCTGTCCCAGACCTCCAAGGCATGTAGGTGCCAAACTCTCATGGAAATCAATGAAGTGAAGCTCCTAAATACCTTGGAGGATCGTGGCTGAAATGTCCAAGTTTGGGCAGTGATCAGTGGTCAGAATTGGCTAGTGTTAGCTGAGTGGCAGGAAAGTGCTTGTATAATTTGATCGATCTCACCCCATTCTTACCCTTTAAGAAGTGGGTCTAAGTTAACACCCGTTGGCCTTTTTGTTGAATTGTTACAGCTCAGTAGAACGTACGGCCCGATTTTCACAATTTACTTGGGCTCTGAGCGAGTTGTGGTGCTGCATGGATATGAGATTGTGAAGGAAGCTCTGGTTGGCCTCGGAGACGAGTTCAGCAGAAGAGGAAGAATGCCACTATTTGAGACAGCTACCAAGGGATCAGGTATAGAACTGATATGGTCTGTATGGCGAGAACACAGTTAAGAAAACAGAAGGGAAGGGAACATGCCAGAGTTTTGTTAGTGAAAATGGGAGCGCGCAGATGCAGTATCAGTGAAATTGAAGTTGAACCTTTGGCTCAGCCATGTTTGGGTATTTGCGAAACAGACAGAGCGCGTCGGGCCCTCCCTCCTTTCAGGCCTGTTCTCTTCCCGTCATTAGGTATCGCTTTTACCAACGGGGAGCAGTGGAAGCAGCTCCGGCGATTTGTCCTCATGACGCTGAAAGATTTTGGGATGGGAAAGAAAAGCATTGAGGAGCGGATCCAGGAGGAAACCCGTTTTCTGGTGGAAAGACTCAGAAACACGCACGGTGGGGATTGTTTCTTGTCCACTGAACACTGAGCAGAAAGACAACTCTTGTCTTTGCTTTTCATGATGTTATTTGTTTGGGTCTAACATAACGGAAGCCATGATTTGCCCCGACAGCAGCCTAATGTCATAGGAAAGGATGGGTGAAAGGTGCCAGAGATGACTCCTTGTGGTTGCTGCTTTGCCACATTTGTCCCCAGTGATGTGTGACCAAAGCGCAAAGGCATGATGCTTGTCTAGAGCAGTGATTCCCAACCTTTCCCATGGAGGAACCCCTAAAATAATTTTTCATATCCCAAGGAACCCCTACCTATGAAAACGTTTGCTTGGCTAGAAAAAGTTAACATCAGGGAGCACAATTCAATTACTGATAAATTATTATCAAGAAAATATATTTGTAAAGAGCTGTTTTATGTGTCAGCTTACATTGCAAGAAAAAACATTATTTATTCCATGATTTCTCATGGAAGCCCTGACAATGGTCTGTGGAACCCCAGAGTTACATGGAACCCTGGTTGGGAAACACTGGTCTCAAGTGTGTAGACATTGACACAGTGAGCTGCATTGGAGTGGGTTAGTTCCGGTGCACCGGGGTCACGAGCCACCTATTCCTATTGTTTGCTAATTCTCACTTTCTTTCCTGCTCCACCTCTGACACACGCTTGGCACCAAGCTTCTAGCAAGAAGGGCCCCGTGGGAATGTTTGAAACCCCTGTGGAAATACACTGGGCTTCATAAAGGACTCTCATTCCCTTGCTTCTCATTCCTCTCCATGGCGTGCGGAGCACAGGGACTTCCCCAGAGCCTTCCACCTTTGCCAACCTCTTACTGCTGGCTCAGCTTCTTCCACTGCCGTTCTCATCACTAGACATTCTGCTCCTCTCTGGCCTTTTCACATCACTGCTGAACTGCTGCCTCGCCCCTGGCCTGGGCTGTTCTCATGCACCTGTCTTGTCTTACTCCATGTTTTTGGTCCAGGAGCGTTCCTGCCATCTCCATTTCCATCCCCGACCCACCAGTTTCTGCTTCCCCTTCCCCTAGGCTTCTTCCCTGCTGACTTTTTCTCTATCCATCTGATACTGAGCACCTGTCTTCGGCAGCTGTTTGAGAACTTGGGGTGTAGACGGGAAGAGGGGGTCTCCACACATCTCCAGGTGTCAGCAAGGTAGAGTGAGAGCGACTCCACCTGGTGCCAACTGGTAATGATGGTACCACCACACAAGTGATGGCCCAGCCACAGCCTGGGCAGCCCCCCTTGTGAATGTGTCTCTGGGCAGCCGACCACTTCGCCAGGACTCGGGCAGAGCGTGGGGGGCTTTGGTACCCCAAAAGTCACAGGGCCTCGTGTGACAGGGCCTGTGTTATTGTCCCCCCGGGACTTTCAGCACCACCCAGCATGCCCCCTGGTGATTTGAGAGCTCTGGGGTCCAGCATTACCCGTTGTCACTGTAGCAGTGTCTGTGAGCCCCGGACTCTTCCAAATCGCTGTGCCCTGGGGAGGCTGCCCACTTTGCCCCCACCCGTCTGCGCTCCTGACGGATCAGCATCCGTTCTTTGAAATGGGCCCCAGATCAGACAGGCGGGTGTCACTCAGATGGGGACTGATGGCCCCTGGTTAGAACAGAGCGGGCCAGGCGGAGAGCTGCGCAGCAAACACACTTCAGCCAGATTGCCAAGGAAAAGGTGGGAAGCGCTTGTTTCATGTTGTGTGTGAGAGGAGAGTGTGGGGATGGTCAACCTTAACCCACCCTCGCTGGGGCATATTGCAGTGAGCCCACCTGGGCCTGTGGGGAGAGACCCCCAACGTCTCAGTGCAGCTGCTGACTTTAGAGTGGACGGAGAAGTCCCTGCTGTAAAACTGAGTCATTTTAGTTTTGGTTTGCTCCAGGGCGGCCCTTGAACCCCAGGCTCCTCCTCACCCACGTCTTCTCCAACATCATCTGCTCCATCGTCTTCGGGGACCGGTTTGACTACGAAGATAAGAACTTTGTTACTTTGATTAGTCTCATCTTGGAAAATAGCAAACTCCAGCAATCTCCCTGGGCAGCGGTATGTTGACAGATTCGTTCCATTCTTCTCGACTGTAATCGGGGAGGGGATGGAGATTTCTGACTTATTACAATTTTCCTTTAAAATTGTTAGATCAGATTCCCCAGAATGGTCCCCTTTTTCTCATTGGGCTACTGCTACAACCAAAATCACCTTCCAACTTCTTTCTAATGGCTTTGAAAAGTTCCCTCTCAAAACACGTCATTTGCTCAGAATTCAGTTTGCTCAAATATATTCTCTGTCAACACACTTGGCAAAAGTCAGGGAACAGTGATACTAATGCCAATCGTAATTCACATGCCCTAGGACTTTTGTAGAGTGCTATGTTAATGTAATCACATTCCTCACCTCGAAAGGAAACTTCCTTTCATTTCCATTTCATACCCAGCTGCTACATTCACTCCTCTTTTCCGAAAGCCTCCCCAAAATGCACAGTGAAGGGCCAAATGTTCTGCTCATGTCGTTCAGACAAAAGAAATGAAGTTCTAAATAGCAGAAAATGTAGCCCTGCGACTTCCACCTCAGGAAGTCTAATGAACATTTTCCCTTTAGAGTTTATAATGGTGAACTGCTACCTAAGAATATCTGTGGTAGGAGCCAAGGATGGGCGCTTCTGTGGGTTTTCTCTTCAGGAGAAGGATGTGCAATTTCTTGGAAAGAATCGAGGGGCGTCTTTTCTGAGGAGTGTTTATCTCTATTGTACCATCTGACTTAGAGCTTGAAACATTCTGTTGAATTGTGATTTAGAATAGAAGGCGACCGAGAAGATTTGAATTTTAGGCCTGTAGTTGGGTCATTGAAGTGAACACGGTTCTTGTCTCTTGAGTCCAGATAAATCAAACCGTGTTTTTCTGTCAACCTTTATAGCTGTACAATTTTTTCCCGACACTCATGGATTACATCCCTGGGCCTCACCACGGGGTATTTAAAAATTTTGAGGAGTGCAGAATATTTGTTCAGGAGAGAGTGAACATGCATAAAGAGTCTCTGGATCCCACTTGCCCTCGAGACTTCATTGATGCATTCCTCATCAAAATGGAAGAGGTAAGTGAGGGCAGCAGCTCTTCCCCATTATTGTAGTGGGGGCTGCACATCTCATCAGGATTAATTTGTTCAATAATGACATAGGACATGGCGGTGCGAAAGTCCGAAGGGGAGAAATGGTTTGTGCCCAAGGAATGTACGTTATAATGCTCTGTTCTGTTCCATATGAAGTTAAATAAAAATCACTGTTACACTGAAAAGGCCCATGCACAGCAATAATGCTGTTTTAATCTTAGCTGCTATGGGCCATTTATGTGGGATTTTAATTGTGATAACAGAGGAGTCACCTGTTGGTTAGAAGATGACATTTTTATAGCCTGATAAAAATGTTTCCTACAGCTTTGCAGTCAAACCAGAAACACCTTCCCCAATTCGTTTTTTTAGGAGCAAAAGAATAGCGACTCCGTATTTACAGAAGAAAGCTTGGTACGAAGCACAGTTGATTTATTTGTAACTGGAACAGGGACATCCAGCACCACTCTCTACTTTGGACTCCTGGTTCTTCTGAAATTTCCAGAAATAGAAGGTAACAACATACACATGCTCTCTCAAAGTGGTAGATCCAGAGAACATTTGAGATATCTGTGGGAGGGAGCAGTTTTAACCGTGATTCCAAGAGCTATTTTGGCATGTGAGAACTCTGAGATTTTAGTGGAATAACCAAGAAACTAGAAAACAACTTCCTTTTTGCATTATCTTAAAAATAGAAGACAAAAAGCTTTTAAAGTGATAATTATAAAGAAATTATGGTTTTCCTACCAGCTCAAAGACACTGGAAGGTGTATTTCCAGTAGACAAAAATATTACCACCATTTTTCAATGGCAGTTGTGTTTTCTTTTCCTATTAAGGTACTCAGCAATTGGAAATAAAATCTTCAACATTGTACTTTCTTCATACAATGCCTTTGATATTTCTCCAGAACAAATGAAGACACACTTCAGTTCAATGTACTAAGGACGTAAAGATTCAAAACTCTGAACATATTTAACAACATAATTTGCCTTTACCAATAACTGATCTAAAAGTCTGAGCCTCTGGGAACTGTTTTATTCTATATTTTAAAAACCACGAGTACATCTGTATAATAGCCCAAGTGGATGATTCTTTACTGTGACAATATAACATGACACCATGGGTACGTCTAGACTACAGGCTTTTGTCGACAGAAGTTTTGTCGACAGATACTGTCGACAAAGCTTCTGTCGACAAATAGTGTCTAGACTACAGCTAGTTCTGTCGACAAAGCAAGCCGCTTTGTTGACATGACTGTGTAGATGCAAAGGACAGCATACAGGCAATAATGTCTTCTGTTGACAGAACTCTGTCGACAAAAGATGTTATTCCTCGTAGAATGAGGTTTACAGCCGTCAACAAAACAGCTGAGTTCTGTCGACGTTATGTTGACAGAATTCAGCCGCAGTGTAGACGCAGGTATAGTTTTGTCGACAAAAGTCCACTTTTGTTGACAAAACCCTGTAGTCTAGACACACCCAGAAAGTCTTAAAAGTTATTTTAAAAACTGCCCTCTAAACACGGTCTTTTTCAAGGGCATCTCAAATATTAAGAACGTTAGTAAAGATTCCTGTTCTAAGAGTAACAACCTGGCCAAATCACTTAAACCTGGGAAATGGGGAGCGCGGGGGGAAGTCTCAGGTGTCAATAGATTTATTCATGAAAGAACACATTATAATTTTGGGGTTGAGAAGCAGTAAAATAACGACTTCAGCTTTCCATCGGGAGCAACCGGAATGTCAAAGGGAATCGCTGAAAAGAAAGCTGCTGAGCTTTGTGGGGGAAACGTGAGGAATGCCTGGAGTAGTAAATGGATACATAGTGTGTCTCCTTCAGTCACCAGATCTCCTCTGGCCTGGCCTGGCAGTGACCCATGTTGCTACCACATGGTGGTAGTTCATTGGTTAAGGGAAGTGAGTTGTAGATCGGTCCGGGGGGTTTCCTGCCCCAGGCCCCCGCAGGCAGGAGTTCTCATTGGAATAGCCCCATTGCAATGGGCAGTCTTGTGCCTGTATTGACCATCTGAGCAAAGGGCCCCAGGGCTGAATGAGCCGTTGGGAGTGAATTCCACTCTCAGATCCAGACCAGAGTTGATGCTCCCAGGCAGGGGTGGGCTGTAAAGTGGAGGCAGCCTCTGCTGACACTGGCCAGGCTGTGCCTGTTCTGAGAGTAACAGGCACCTACGCACTGCAGGTGGAGTGGACTGGCAAAGTCATCGTATCTCAGATGTAATCAGCTTGCCGGTGTCAGGATTGTGGAACTCAAAGCTCGGCCAGTGCTCGAGACTATGCCCAGAGCAGAGGAGGGTGATACAACGGTGGGCAAATCTGTGGGAATTTACCGTTACTGTTAAACCTCACTCATCTGGTTACAGCGAAAGTTCACGAAGAGATTGACAGTGTGATTGGCCGAAGCCGAAGCCCCAGCATGGCGGATCGAAGCCAGATGCCCTACACAGATGCTGTGTTACATGAAATCCAGAGATTCCTTGCCATTGTGCCTCTAGGTATCCCACATGCTGTGACTAAGGATGTTCATCTCAAGCAGTACGTGATTCCCAAGGTCAGTTCTGAACGTGTGCGTGTGAAAGGCCAAGTTTGTTCACTCTTCTCTCTGTTTAATTTCAAATTATTCTTTCAATGTAATTGGTGCGGTGGGTGTATTTACTGATTTATCAGTCATGGTCCAAGTGTTGTTGAGTCCCTCACAGTCTGTGCCTAGAGTAGAACAGGAGTTGTAAGTGTTCAGGCTTTGCCTTCCTTCCGGGGGGGATCTCATAGGCCAGCTCCTACATCTCAATGTGGACTAGAGAATGAATTTAGTAATGGTGCGCACTAAGACTGTGAACCCTCCATACCTTCACTTAGTTCTGGAATCGAAGGTTAGCCGATCAATATACATATAAACTAAACCAAAAAAACCCCCTGACAATTCAAAGTTATGATACTTTCAATAGAGTCAAGCGTACACACTTGATCATCACCTGTTCGATTCACTCCCTCTGGGACACCTGGTATTGGCCACTGTTGGCAGGCAGGATACTGAGCTGGATGGACTTTTGGTCTGACCCAGTCTGGCCATTCTTATATTCCTCAGAATAATTCTTTTAATACGGCTTCTCTCTCACATGTGGGGGTATGTTGCTGATTTAACTAATTTAGCTAGTAGTACGCAAGAGAGAGATCTTGGAGTCATTGTGGATAGTTCTCTGAAAACTTCCACTCAGAGTGCAGCGGCAGTCAAAAAAGGAAATAGAATGTTAGGAATCATTTAAAAAGGGATAGAGAATAAGACAGAAAATATCTTATTGCCGCTATATAAAACCTTGCTATGCCCACATCTTGGATACTGCTTAAGGATGTGGTCACCTCATCTCAAAAAAGATTTATTGGCATTGGAAAAGGTTCAGAAAAGGGCAACAAAAATGATGAGGGGTTTGGAACAGGTCTCATATGAAGAGAGATTAAAAAGATTGGCACCTTTCATCTTAGAAAAGAGGAGACTAAGGGGGGATATGATAGGGGTCTATGAAATCCTGACTGATGTGGAAAAAGTGAATTAGGAAAAGCTATTTACTTTTTCCCATAACGTAAGAGCTAGGAGTTACCACATGAAATTAACGCATAGCAGGTTTAAAACAAACAAAAGGAAGTTTTTCTTACACAATGCTTAATTGACTTGTGGGACTCCTTGCCAGAGGGTGTCTGAGACTGAAAATGACTTGCCCAAAGTCACTCCATTTATCCCATCTCAGTCAGTGCGGAGCATGAATGCTGGACTGCAGTTCAGTGCAATTAACTCTGCTCATGATACGTTATTTCTGCTGATTGAAAGCACGATGCTGAGAGAATCCAAGAAAATGAAGGGAAAAAAATCGGTCCCACAGTCAAGTGAATTTAGTTGAATATCCCCCTCAACCGTTTTTTTTTTCCTGCATTTGCTAATTCAGCATACCACGATATTCGCTGCACTCAAGTCAGTTCTATATGACAGCAGGGAATTTCCAAATCCAGAGCAATTCAACCCGGGACACTTCTTGGATGAAAATGGTGCCTTTAAGAAGAGTGACTTCTTCATGCCGTTTTCTACAGGTAAAAGAAGCTGGTTTTGCTTCAGATCCCGGCCTGCCTCCTAACTTTCCCTGATCACTCTGACTAGTTTGAGCGCAATGTTTTCAGGTGGCCCATGAGCCAGGGTGTCTCATGCTAGCAAAGCATCTGTCAGTCTTTGCAAGTCTGCCACTTCCCGCTCGTTTGTCTGAAGTGAGTGTTTGGACTAGATATACACTCAATTCACTACACTCTGCTTAAAAACTCCCTGTCTTGCTTTGTGTGGTGTCTGTCTGGTGTAAATGAATCCGTGATCAAAGGTGCAGACAACGGTAATGTTGAAGGGAATACCAAACCTACAGTAACCAGCTGCGTAGTCATGTGCACAGATAGCACAGAAATGCAGGGCTGGAAGAGACATCGAGAGTTCATAAAGTTTAGCTTCCTGTGCTGATGTGGCACCACGTAAATATCAACCGTCCCTGACTGGTGTGTGTCAGACTGTTCTTAAAATTCTCCAGTGATGGGAATTCCACAGCCTCTGTGGCAAGCCTCTTCCAGAGTTTGACTAACCCTATTTTTAATTTTCCTCTCTACTCTCTAATCTAAGTCTCCCTGTTTGTAAAGTAAGTCCATTACTTCTTGTCCTACTGTCAGGGGGAGAAGAAGAACAATTGATTCTTGTCTTTTTATGACAGCCCTTAGCGTATCTGAAGTCTCTTTAGTGTCTCCCTGATGACTACACTGGTCCGGGAATCAACTTCTCTAAACCTTTGAGCTTGATTCATTTCCTTGAGTTACTCTGAAATCTCTGCATTTGTCCATGATGGGGCAGAGTGCTCCAGTGGAGCCCTCACCAGTGCTGAGCAGAGCAGGAGAATGCCCTGCCGTGCCTTGCATAACCCACGCCCGCTAATACATCCCAGAATGTTGTTAGCCTTTTCTGCAACTATATCACACGCTTTATGTCTATTTAACGTGTGATCCGCCCCTTAATCCCTTTCAGCAGTACCACTGCTTTGCCGCTACGGCCCATGGAATAGTTGTGTAAATATGAGACTCACACTGAATTCTATTATCCAAGTCACTCATGAAAATATTGATCAGTGCCAGTCTCAGGAAAAGCCTTACAGCACCTCCCACTCTGAAATAAACTGTAGATAGCTAGTTTGAGGAAGTTTTTTTGACAATTGACAGTTCAACCATTCTAATAGCATTTTAATCTAGACCACATGCCCCTAGTTTGTAGAGGCCTCTTTCTGCTAGGCCACTAACCCTGTTGTAGAAATCTTTTGGTCTGAATGAGCTTGATTTGTTCTTGATATATGCTCTCTTGCTTGGCTATTCCTCATCAATCTTTTATCATCTACGTGCTTCAAATTTGACTTAGTTAGTTCTAGTGTCTTTCCAGGCTCACTGGTTACAATTCCTCTGGTCCTCCTTCATGCCTTCCTGATCTCTGAGGAGGTGGCCATTATCCTCAATCTGTGCATGCATCTAACCTTAATCCTCCATACCAACTGTATTTAAAATGTGCTGCAAAGAAAGATCTCCTGCGTGATCTCAACATTCCTTTTCTGTGCAGGGAAACGGATGTGCCTGGGGGAGAGTCTGGCTCGCATGGAGCTCTTTTTGGCACTGACAGCGATTTTACAGAACTTCACCCTGAACCCCGTGGTTGAACCCAGAGATGTTGATATTACTCCAGTAACAACTTTTGTGGGAAATTTACCAAAACCATATGAGCTCCGTGTTCTTTGCCGGTAAAGGTTACCTCCTTGCATGGTTGGTGCATATGGTAGAAACAGGAATGCGGTATCTACACACAGCTGATGCAGATGCACCGCTGAATGCTGGGGCTGTGGTGGCCCCATCTCGTCCCTTCCCTATCTTCCATGCTTGCAGAAGTTTTTATTATGGTTCCTGTAGGTTTCAGGGTAGCTGGCAAGGCCTTATCTGCGATCCAGCTTCCTGGGTGCCTTGGACTTCCTGTATCCATACCAGTGAACCTGGGGAGCAGCACAGCAGATAGCATTCTCAGCTGCCCCGAGACCTGCATGGAACATTCAGTCATTTCCAGCTGCTGCACGTTTCTCCAGTAAGAGATGCCTGAACATACCAGATCTCATCCTCTGGAGAGCCCAGGTGCTGTGCTGCTTCCTTTGCAGGTTCCTTCCCCTCCTCCCTACAGAGCTTCCTAGCCACTGGGCCCCTCCTCCATGCTTGCTTCCTGCGTGGCTGCTGGGCACCCCTCCCTGCTGCTTTGGTAGCTAAATTGTCTGAATAATAGCCGTTGTGGATAAAGGGGAAGCAGTAGATGTGGCATACCTAAAAGGTAGTAAAGCATTTAATACAGTTGCACATGATCTTCTTAATAATAAACTAGACAATACAGTGTCAGTGGGGGCTACTATAAGGTGAGTGCATAACTGATTGGATAACTCTATTGCATGAGCGAAAGGACAGCTGGCTCCCGGGCAGACTCATCACTCTCTCTGTAAATGATCTGATTGCCACCCAATGGGACAGTGCACTGCACCCAAACCATTTGTGACAAGTCTTTTACTATGCCCACATGTAGTGCTCTTCATTAGCTACATTCTGCATGTGCAGTGTTCGCAAACCCACGTGGCACCCAATGGAAAACCAGCTCCATTTCCTTTACAAAGGAATTGCTTTGGGTCAGGGATTTGTCTGGAACAGGGTGAGCACGCAGGACAAGGGAAGAGAAGAGGGAGGCAATTGGGGCAGAGCAAGGATAGAGAATGTGTGGGGCCATATGCAGAAAACACCTGCTGCAGAGTTAGCCTGGCTCCATAGGCAGCAGCTTCACTCTCTGTCCATGCGGATGTCCTGGACCTGGCTGTGAGCAGGGTTTGAACCCATGCGGGGAAACCTATTGGAATTCTAGTCCAACGTCCAACCACTTGGCCATCACAGCTGTAAGTGCAGCACCAGGAGTGAAACCTGAGCTAGAACCATCCCTGTCACAAAAGGAAAAAAACTGGATTTATTTCATGTACATGAACCTGATTGTCTTTGATTCTGGACTCATGTCCTCAGTGACAGAAATGAACTCATTGTCTTGAAACAGATAAATTGCTGGATTTTTATATAACTGTGATTTAAAAAATAAAGTATAAGATAAAAAAATCATCAAACAATTGCCTCACAGAGCTACGTACAGTTATTGTGTAGTGTTCTCAAACACGGTCAGGTGGGAACAGAAGCTGGGTAAGTTGTCAAGTCCTATGTGTTGTGGTTCATAATTATGGACACGTTATCATTGACAAAGATTTGGTAACAGTGTCTAGCCCTTGAGCTTCAATCACCCAATGAAAATAAATCGCAATGATACAACACTTGGGGGCTCGACATCTTGTTTTGATAGGCAGAGTTTCTTTGGCTTGGACAGAACTAGAGTTCTCCCTGCCCTGGTCCTTCCTGCCATTTAAAGGAAGCGCAGTGTTAACACAGGGAAGCAGGGTCTGAATGAAGGACCCAAACCTCCCGTTCGCATGCCCAACCCTTCTCTGCAGCAGCCCCCCACTCAGTTACCGGCCGGTGCAGACCCGGAGTTCTGAGGTCCATCTGCAGAATTCACCTCCCACCCTGGGCAGGGGGTAAAGAGGAATCTCACTCACTCCGCTAGATACTATCTGGCTGCCTCCTTACTGCTCTCCACCACCATGCTGCTGGCCTACTGCAGACATCCTGGATGTATTTATGTCCATGGGGTTTGCTCCTGCCAAGCTTAGATTTGGCAGCAGATGTTTTGCTCATTGTAATAAACTGGGCTGGTGTTGGGTCACCAACTACGTTAGTTCTGAAAGCAGGAATAGTGAAATATGGTTACCCGTGTTTGTAAATCTTGTGGGCACTGAAGGAAAAGGACTGAGCCTAATCTAACCTAAAGGAGGGTTTTTAATTGGCAGTGACACCTTTGCTAATATCAGGTGCAAGAGTCAGAGCCTCGTGAATGTCAGATGGATGGGTGGACAGGACGCCCGCCCAGAAGGGAGCACAGCTCAAGAGTCTACTACAAGACTGGTTCCACCTCTTTTTCCCCAGTGTTCAAAGCTCAACCTTGCACTCCTGTGTCCCAGGGATGCATGGTCCTATCTCCAGAGAGCGAGGAGCCTCGCTGCTGCCATTCTAGCAGACTGAACGGTGCTGGAAACACTGGCTCCCTGTTCCCTTGCCAGGTGCATAGCTGAGTAGCCAGTGACAGGTGCTCCGGTTACTAAGGAGTCGAGCTCCCAGGAGTCCTGGTCGCTTGCCAGTCCAGATGCTAGCAGCTGGGTGTGTGGGTGAGGAGGCAGGGAGCGAGGCAGAGATGTCACAATTGACACATTTTTGTGAAACGTTTCACTGCTGAGGCAGCTAGAGGATGTGAAGGAAGCTGTGCTGCTAAAGCCAGAGAAGGAGCAATGGAGTGCCGAGGCCTGTGCGGTACCAAGGAGGCTCAAGAGTGTGCCGAAGCATCCCGCACCGATGCCGGTCCGGTTCTGACGCCAGTGCCAGTCTTAGGGCTGCCTCTTTGAGAACAATCTTGTGGCGCAATTCTCTCATGCGCTCCATACGGGACTTAAAAGCTTTGCAAATTTTGCAGGCCTCTGAAAGGTGTTAGGCCTGCTGTGAGGGCGAGAAACCCGGCCGAGGGCCTTTGTCACTGAGCCAGGCCTGAGGCCTTTCGCTGGGGGTAACTTGGAGGTCGGATACATTAATGTGGGGCACAGTCGGCTCACACCCCTCACGTTGACCCTTCCCAGCCTGAGCAGCGTTACCGAGGCAACAGCATTCCGGCCATCAGCCCTTCCCACACCAGAGGATGGCTGCACAGATCCAGTCCCTGTTCAGCACCCACAGCCATTCGCTGTGTCCAGAAGATTGAATGGTGGCTGTGCAGGTCCTCCATGCCACCCCCAGCTTTCTCCTAATCCTCTTCCTGTTAAAGGGCCTGGCGTGAGCTGTCCAAGTGCTGCAGCATTGAACGTCCCACGACACACACATCAGCCTCACAATGGCTGCGGCAAACCAGGCTCCTCTTCATGATCGCTGTGAAGACAAGAAGAGCCCTTACAGGTGCGAGAACAGTGCCTCCCCTTTATCACACTGCAGGGAGGAGGGACGAGGTGAGTGTATTATGGGATGCTGGAGGCATGAGCCAATAGCCAGCCACCGCACAGCTTTGGTCACAGCGGACAGTATGAGCATAGTCTAGCATGCAAAGCTACCCATGGTGTATTGCTCTCTGAGTCGATGGTAGGTTGCCTACACGGGATGCGCTGCTTCAGACTACATTTGATTTACCCCGTGGTGTGAACATGGACTTAGCAATATCGGGTGGTAAGAAATCAGCCTTGACTTGGAGTATAGTCGCACCCTCAGAGTCTTAATGTTTCAGTTTGACACCAAGAGTCGTACAGAGATGGCATCAAGGAAGGTCGACCACAAGAGATTTTAAAGATTTTGTGAAATCTCTGGAAACAATCAGGATTCGGTCTCAATTTGTAACAAATTTCAAGATCCAGTTTTTTTCAAGTGTCAGCTGATCCTTTATCCATAGATTAAATCTTGGAGCACAACATGAAAAGGAATCCTTATCCTACACATGTTCCAGCTGGCACCACGCATCTGAGAAATGTTTAACCACACGGCTGGAGAGAGCGGGTCGTTTCATGGCAGTATGGGCTACTTTACAGTAATTCTATATAGGGTTAAATATCAATCTCCATCAATGAGTACACAGGAGAAGGGGAGATGAGCTATTATTAAAAGTTCAAAGGACTTTGTTCCTAGTTTCATAACTCTGATCATCTTTGTTAGTCGTTACCACTGAGCGCTCCTATTGGCCAACTCCTTGCACCCACCTTTGCTGTGCAGAATATAAAAAGGGAGATGTCTGAAATACAAATAATCCCTGAACCATTGCTACACCCGACAATGGACCCGCTGGGAACAACCACTCTGTTCCTGGTCATTTGTGTCTCTTGCCTTCTCTTTCTCTTCACGTGGAGAAAGACGCCTGGAAGTGGGAAGCTGCCACCTGGGCCTGTTGCTTTTCCCCTCATTGGGAACATGCTGCAGCTGAGAGAGAAGAGCTTGTCCCAGCATCTAGACGAGGTAAGGGTGTTCTCTTGCTGGGTGGGTAGCAGGCATTTAGCACAGCCTAGCTCAAGTCCAGCCTGGTGGCAGTGCCATGTTCACTGAAATGCCCGAGTTACTGCTTCACAAAACAATCAGCCTTGGATTGCAGATGTAAATGGTTTGAGATAATCCACTGCTTGTGTTACAGGTGAGTGTGTTATTCAGAGGTAACCCAGAGAGCCTCAACAGCAGCACTGTGCAAGTTGTCGCTGGCTGGGCTCAGTGGTCTAGCGTGTTATGTAAGGAAATGGCAGACACAAGGCTTCAATTCTGGTCCTACCTCTTCCACAGACTCTAGGTGTGCCCTTGGGCATGTCACATAACCTCTCTGCCGTTGTTTCCCATCTGTAAAATTGCTCTATTGACATTTGCCTGGATCACAATAGGAAGGTTAGGCAGAGACTGCAGCTCAGCATAGAACCAGCTCACAAGACTGAATAAATGCCGGCAGCATATCTAAGGAGTTTGAAGTGTCATTTCTACAAAGCGCTCAAAATCTCTATTAAGAGCCCTATAATAATGCAGGTGGCTCTTCCAGTTGGAACAGACAGAATTATCATGGGATCAGGCAGAGAGGGACACATACATGTTGATAGGGAAACCTGCTGAAATGGCCATGTCTGGGCAGTGATCAGTGGTCAGAATTAGCTAGTATGCACTGAGATGTCAGGCAGTCCCAGACCTCCAAGGCATGTCGGTGCCAAACTCTCCTTGAAAACAGTGAAGTGAAGCTAGTAAATACCCTGGAGAATTGTGGCTGAAATGGCCAAGTCTGGGCAGTGATCAGTGGTCAGAATTGGCTAGTATTAGCTGAGTGGCAGGAAAGTGCTTGTGTCATTTGATCTTCTCCCCCCATTCTTACCCTTTAAGAAGTGGGTCTAAGCTAACACACATTGGCCAATTTGTTCAATTCTTACAGCTCAGTAGAACGTACGGCTCGATTTTCACGATCTACTTGGGCTCCGAGCGGGTTGTGGTGCTCCATGGATATGAGGCGGTGAAGGAAGCTCTGGTCGATCTTGGGGACGAGTTCAGCAGAAGAGGAAAAATGCCACTATTTGAGACAGCTACCAAGGGAACAGGTATGTGTGGATGGAATAACATCTGCGTATAGGACTGATATTATTTGTTTGGCGAGAAAAGAGGCAGAGTTTTGTTAATACTAGTAAAAATCAGAGAGCATAGACACAAAATCTGTGACGCTGAAGTTGAAGCTGAACCTTTGGCTCAGGCATGTTTGGTTGTTTGCCAAACAAACAGACAGCGTCAGGCCTCCCTCCTTTCAGGCCTGTTCTCTACTCTTTTCCAGGTATTGGTTTCATCAATGGGGAGCCGTGGAAGCAGGTCCGGAGATTTCTCCTCACAACCCTGAGAGGATTTGGGATGGGGAAGAAAAGCATTGAGGAGCGGATCCAGGAGGAAACCCGTTTTCTGGTGGAAAGACTCAGAAACACGCACGGTGGGATTGTTTCTTGTCCACTGAACACTGAGCAGAAAGACAACTCTTGTCTTTGCTTTTCATGATGTTATTTGTTTGGGTCTAACATCTTATAATGGAAGCCGTGAGCTGCCCCGACAGCACCCTATAGTGATGTCATAAGAAAGGATGGGTGAAAGGTGCCAGAGATAAACCCTTCCGGTTGCTGCTTTCTGTTTCTTGTCCACTGAACACTGAGCAGAAAGACAACTCTTGTCTTTGCTTTTCATGATGTTATTTGTTTGGGTCTAACATCTTATAATGGAAGCCGTGAGCTGCCCCGACAGCACCCTATAGTGATGTCATAAGAAAGGATGGGTGAAAGGTGCCAGAGATAAACCCTTCCGGTTGCTGCTTTCTCACATTTGTCCCCTGTGATGTGACCAAAGCACAAACGCATGATGCTTGTCTAGAGTGTGTAGACACTGACACAGTGAGCTGCATTAGAGAGGGTTAGTTCCAGTGTGCTGGGTTCACAAGCCACCTATTCCTATGGTTTGCTAATTCTCATTTTCTTCCCTGCTCCAAGTCTGACACACGCTTGGCACCAAATTTCTAGAGTGAAGGGCTCCGTGGGAACGTCTGAAACCCCGTGGACATAGGCAGGGCTTCATAAAGGATGCTCGTTCCCTTGTTGGATGATTTCATGTGCCCATCTTTTGTTATTTCATGTCTTTGGTCCAGGCGCGTTCCTGCCATCTCCATTTCAATGCCTGGGCCACCAGTTACTGCTTCCCCTTCCTCTAGGATTTTTCCCTCGTGACCTTTTCTCTCTCCATCTGACACTGAGCATCTATCTCCAGCAGCTGTTTGAGAACTTGGAGAGTAGGCGGGGGGTCTTCAAACATCCCCAGGTGTCAGCAAGGTAGAGTGAGAGCGACTCCACCTGGTGCTAGCTGGTGATGATGGTACTACCACACAAGTGATGGCCTAGCCACTGGGCAGCCCCCCTTGTGAATGGGTCTCAGGGCAGCTGAGCACTTGGCCAGTCCGCGTGCGACAGGGCCTGATGCTGTCATCCCCTGGATAGCTCCTCAAAACCACCCGGTGCGCCCCGCCTGGCTCTCCAGGGCTGGTTTCAAGGCTCTGGGATCCATCATCAGCCATTGCTACTGTAGTGGTGTCTGAGCACTCTGGATTCTTCCAAATCGCTGTGCCCTGGGGTAGCTGCCCACTTTGCCCCCATCTGTCTGCGCACCTGACCAAGCGGGATCCATTCTGTGAAATGGGCTCCAGACCAGACAGGAGGGTATCGCTCAGACAGGGACTGATGGCCCTTTGTCAGACCAAAACGGGCCAGGCAGGGAGCCGCACAGCAAACACACTGCAGCCGGATTGCCAAGGAAAAGGTGGGAAGTGCTGGTTTCATGTCGTGTGTGAGAGGAAAGTGTGGGGACGGGCAGCCCTAACCCCCCTAAATCCGTCTCCGCAGGGCATATTGCTGTGAGACCCCCAGTATCCCAGTGCTGCTGCTGACTCTAGTGTGGAAGGAGAAGTCCTTTCTGTAAAACTGACTCCTTTTAGTTTTGGTTCCCTCCAGAGCGGTCCTTTGACCCCAGCCTCCTCCTCGCCCACGTTGTCTCCAACGTCATCTGCTCCATCGTCTTCGGGGACCGGTTTGACTATGAAGAGGAGAACTTTGTTACTTTAATTAATCTCATATTGGAAAATGGCAAAGTCCAGCAGGATCCTTGGATAGTGGTATGTTGAGGGATTTGTTGTGTTCATATCGACTGTGCAGAGAGAGGAGGTGGAGATTTCTGACTTTATTAATTTTCCCTAAACATTTTTATATCCGATTCCCCAGAATCGTCCTCATTTTTTCATTGGACTACTGCTACAACCAAACTGACACTCCACCAACTTCTTTCTGAGGGTAGTTTAAATTCCCTTACAAAACACATTCAGCCAGAATTCGATTTGCTCAAGGATGTTCTGTGACAACACAATTGGGACAAATCAGGGAAATCTCCAGTCAATACAGTGATACCAACACCAGTCTTAATTCACATGCCCTAGCGCTTTTGAAATGTGCTATGTGAATGTAATCGCATTCCCCATCTCCAAAGCAAACTTCCTTTCGCTTCCATTTCATACCCACCCTGTAAGCGCGCTCCCCTTTTCTGAGAGCCTCCCCAAATGCACAGTGAAAGGCCAAACGTTCTGCCGATGTGATTCAGATAAAATTGATGAAGATACAATAGCAGACAATCTGGCCCTGCATCTTCCTTTCACTTCCATTTCATACCACCCCGTAAGCGCGCTCCCCTTTTCTGAGAGCCTCCCCAAATGCACGGTGAAAGGCCAAACGTTCTGCTGATGTGATTCAGATAAAATTAATGAAGATACATTAACAGACAGTCTGGCCCTGCAACTTCCGCTTCAGAAACTTGAATGCATATTTTCCTTTTAGAGTTCCTAATGGTGGATTGCTACCTAAGAAAATCTGTGGCAGGAGGGAAGGCTAGGCATTTCCGTGGGTTTTTTCTTCAGGAGAAGAATGTGTGATTTGTTGGAAAAAATGGAGTATGTCTTAGGTGACATAACTAAACCTCGGTGCAGTTTTTCTGGGGAATTTGTATCTGTATTATACAGTCTTAGTTTGAACTTGCAATGTTCTGTTGAATTTTGATTTTGATTAGAAGGCACCCTAGAAGTATTTAATTGTATGGCTGTACTTGTGTCATTGGGGTGACAAGTGAGACTGTCCTTGTCTCTTGAGTCCAGATAAATCAACCCATGTTTTTTTTTCAATCTTTATAGCTGTACAATTTTTTCCCAACGCTCATGGATTATGTTCCTGGACCTCACCAAAGGCTATTTGAAATTTTTGAGGAGTTAAGAAGATTTGTTGGGGAGAGAGTGAAAGTACATAAAGCGTCTCTGGATCACAGTTCCCCTCGGGACTTCATTGATGCTTTCCTCATCAAAATCGATGAGGTGAGTGAGGGCAGCAGCTCTTTCCCAGCAGTGTGGTAAAGATGTTAAATATTGGTAAATTGACTAGTCAGGTAGTGGATGGAATTTCCATTGTCTACTCAACTCCGCATTCCGGCTTTGAAATGTACAAGAGCCGCTGCTGGGGATCTTGTACATTTCAAAGGAGGAATTCGGTACTCTGTGTGCAGCCCAGAGCCAGCTGACTCCGGGCTGGCATGAGGGCATGCCTGCTTTGAAATGTACAAGAGTCCCCCTCTGACACTTGGCTCCCTGCTCCACTGCCAATTCCTCTCCCCCCCTCCTCCTTTGCTGCCTCTATCAACTGGGCTATCCGATAACATCCTTATACTTGGTGGGGGCTGAACATCTCATGGGGATACATTTGTTTAATAATCATAGACTCATAGAACCATAGCACTGGAAGAGACCTCAGAAGGTCATCAAGTCCAGCCCCCTGCTCTAGGCAGGACCAATCCCAACTAAATCAACCTGGCCAGGGCTTTGTCAAGCCAAGACTTAAACACCTCTAGGGATGGAGACTCCACTACTTCCCTAGGTAACCCATTCCAGTGCTTCACCACCCTCCTAGTGAAATAGTTTTTCCTAATATCCAACCTGGACCGCTCCCACCACAACTTGAGACCATTGCTCCTTGTTCTGCCATCTGTCACTACTGAGAACAGTCTCTCTCCA